CCCCCCCCCACCCGTATTTTAAGATTTGAGATTGAGATCCGATACTTAAGATTTGAGATTATGAGATTGAAATAAGATTTCATAGATGACCTGCGATGAGTTTAAGATTTAAGATTTTTTTAAGATTTGAGATTGAGATAAGATTTGATAGTTAAGATTTTTTAAGATATGAGATTGAAATAAGATTTGAGATTGGAATAAGATTTGATAGATCATCTTAGATCGATTTAAGATTTCTTAAGATTCGAGATCGAGGTAGGAAGATTTAAGATTCAGATTGTGACTCAGATTGAGATTTGAGATTGAGTTGAAATTGAGTTATTAAATTTGAATTATTCATGAAATTGAACTATTCAATTTGAACTATTCGCGAAATTGAACTATTCAATTTGAACTATTCACGAAGTTGAGCTATTCAATTTGAACTATTCACGAAATTGAACTATTCAATTTGAACTATTCACGAAGTTGAACTATTCGTGAGTCTTGCGATAAAATTGTAGATATGACTATCAATAGATGCACACAGTTTGGCTTCGGATCAGAAACAACTGGCACAGGCGAGAAAGATGAAAGACCTTTTATTCACCCACCTGTTTGCTCTGCGAGCGCTATGATTTTCGCCACTCGTTACAACAGGGTCGAAATCCATCGTACAGCATTCGGCTTCGTTCGTGCACAGCTGTCGTCGTTAATTACGGGGCTGGGATTAAATTGTTACGTTGTGCATCTTTTGCGTAAGGCGCACGCTCCTCACCCTCTGAAGTCAAGTGCGAGCGCCGAGGGTCGCCTCGTACTATCGTAAATCGAGAAAAACAGTCAAACTCAAATAGGTAAGCAGCCGTACAGACGCGCTTGGGCTTGCCATGTCTACTCAAAGTGGATTCGAGCTCTACTAGATTGTCTTCTGAGTAAAGAAGTAGTAGACGCAGGAGAAAGAAGGTGACTGGGTTCAGCTATTTTGCTTGTCAGTCTTAAAGTCGATGGCTGCCAAGTAGTGCCTCGCTGTCACTTGATCTGGCAACAACAAAAGCAAAAAATGCAGAATTTTGAATCGCTCGAGTCTTGCTCGACCGCAACAACTGAGCGGAAGCGGCAGCAACTTAAAGAGTTGCAGTCCAAGCTCGCTGACCTCCGGTCGCGCCGCAGTCAGTTGGGCCACGAGGTGCAGCGCGCCGAGGAAAACGCGGAAGAAGAGCGCGATCTCCTGCACCGAACGCAGGAGCGAGAGTGCAAACGGCTCCGGGCTGCGCGGGATCTATACCGGCACTAGCAGCGTCAGGTGTCAAGCAAAGCCTATGAAGGCCTGCATGTACCACGAATCGCGGCACTTTCGTGATGATTATGTTTGTATTTTATTACAGCCCTGCTTCTATGCACTTGATATGAAGTAGAAATTGAAATTGTATTTGTATGTCTAATAAGTGGACCGTGATTGACGTTGAAATCAATAGTAATAGCAAAGACCTCGTCTGCTTCGACAGGACGAATTGATCACGCTCTCTTATTTATTACCAAGGGTTTGCTTGGTTGCTAGCATCATGACCGTGTTACCAAACGACGTTTAGACTGTAACTACAAAATCGCCAAGACCGATTTGTCTTGAGAGGGTGCGGTCGCCCCTCCTACTGTATTGCCCCAAAATTGGTATCGCGAACCCGTGGCACTGTCGTGCCTGCGCGCCGAGCTGTCCACGCTTGGGCCTTGTTCTACCTTGTCGAAAGCTGCTTCTGTGCGGCAAGAGCATTTGTCACTGAGTCCAGCTTAGTCTATTGACGCGCGTGGAGCGAAAGAGCTGCAATTGGAAGTCAACCATTACCAAACGGAACAACATGGAGAGCGACAGGCAGATGGGGAGGACGTAGTATCGTTCGAGTGCACAAATAATCATGTCCATGAGAGATATTATGGCGCGCCATTCGTGATAGCATCACGTCGTGAAACAACTATGGCGGAAGCCAAAATATATGCAAGCAACTAGAATAAAGGAACATGATAGAAATTGCGAGACGGATCACACGATTAGCGGCGCGGAAAGGAGATCAGCTTGATCAAAGAGAACGGCGGGTGTGTGGCGACCCGTTTTGATGCGATTTTGGGCCAGCCAAGCGAATTCCTGCAGCCTTTCCACGCGGCGGACAAGTTTTTCTGTGTCGTCGAGAGCGGCAGCAGGTTCGTCAGAGCGAGCCGACGTCTTCACCTTTCGTGAAAGCCGCCCGCTCCACGTTTTTCATCGATACGAAGATCAAGCTGGGTTCCCAAGATTCGGTGGCGCAGTATTTTCTTCTGCTAGTAATATTGCTCATTCCTGCCAGCGGAAAAAAAAAATGGATGACGAGGATGGCAGGAGCCCTACCACTGAGGAGGTGCGTCAAGCTGCACTCCGAGAACACGGACTAGAAGATGAGAGCGGAGGCCGAGTGTTATGTATGCGAATTACTTTTCTGCCTGTCGCGATTGCTAGTAGTAGATCGCATCCCTCCGCACGTCCCACCCTAGTGCAAGGTAATTGAAGATGATGAGGAATAAAGTTGCTGGAAGGTGGAAGTTTTGCCATTGCCGATGATTCCGCGTGGAAGTAGAACTCAAGCCGGTCATGACAAAGAGAGTAGTCGACTCCGGTATGTCGGCGACCTCGCCAGAGTATGTGGCAAAGCAAAGCTTTTGCGCCCGGTCTGCAACTAAGTACTTATCTGCGAAGAGCAGAGTTTCCGTGTTTTCTGGGATAAGTTCGCAGGGAATTTGGCAGTCTGGCTGCACTTGGGGAGGACATGTTTGGCGATCAAGGGAACGAAGACCAGCGAGGAGAACATCTTCCTTCAGACGGTACAGCTACAGGCGAGGGGCACGCGCCGCCTCCTGCCCAGGGATCGCAAACTGTTGCGGTGAACTTACCGGCGCCAGATTTTGGGCATTTGGAGGCGTCAACGACAACCACCGATGGAGTGTACCTTTTTTTTATCGTACGTGCTTGGTGCATGACCTGACTTTTTGGAGCCGTTGTATCGGTGACAGAAAAGGCAAAGACAGTGCATTGTTATACGAGCGGGACGTTATGTGGCTATTCTTATTTGTTTTTCTTCTGCGAGAGCGTGAGCGAGGTGCAGCTGCAGGACCTCGTGTCTTGCTCGGTAAAGAAACATAAACGCTACACCTGTGATCTGATACATCAGGCGGCTCCGAGCTGCCCCTGAAGGAAGCATCCTGCCTATTGTCCTAAACAATGAGCACTCACGTGGTGAGGACGGGCGGGATGTACCAAGGTGGGTGCTGGACGCCAGCGGACCTGGCAGCCAAGATCCGGCCACGGCGATGAACCGCGGGACGCGGGAGACAAGCGACTCGGTACCTCGAGACGCGTCTGCGGCAGTCGGGCGGCGGCTTGCGTCGGTTTGGCGAGGTCTTCTCGTTGTCCTAGCTCTGTTTTCGTTTACAGCTTTTGCGAAATTTCTTTTCACGGACAAAAGCGGCGAGAAAAAGACTTTCTTGCAGGAGATCATCGTCCCTCTTGGGCAGGGTGTCACTACGGTGACCATTTCTCTGGTGAAGTTTCTGGAAATTTTAACGCTCTTGGGAAACGCCGTGGAACGCGCAGCCTTCAGAACACTCGGAATTGGGGCAGTTGCTGTCGGTCTGTTCCAGCGGGGCGCTTGCTACGTGGCAGTAACAGCTGTGATGATACTTCTCCCAATTTGGTGCTGCGGCTGGAGAGGAAGGCATCGCCCAAGAGCAGTATTGTGAAGGCGCCCGCTCTACGAAATAGTGAATGCGGCTGACTCGTCGACGTCATCAGAGAAACAAACTCAATTTGACACATAGTGAAAAGGTCTTGTTACAGATTTAAGTCATCAGTTGAAAGGTCGAGTGTAGTGATCATACCAGTACACTTCCCGGAATGGTCCGCGGTGGAGTGACGCAGGAAACGCAAGAAAAAGAACAAGTCACTTTTACATCCAAGCGCGGAGCACAAGCAGCCGCATCTCACTCGAACCCGCCCCGGAGACGCGGGCGCTCGGCTACCGGGTTCTGGTACTCGGCAACTTTTTCACACATTTTTGGGCACTCGGGTTCTTGAGAATCAGCTTGCGTTTTTTAGTTCACCACGAGCCAGACCCCCCGGGGATCGCAACGGTTTGGCGGGACTCGGGCGGGACTCGGACGGGACTCGGACGGGACTCGGACGGGACTCGGACGGGACTCGGACGGGACTCGGACGGGACTCGGACGGGACTCGGACGGGACTCGGACGGGACTCGGACGGGACTCGGACGGGACTCGGACGGGACTCGGACGGGACTCGGACGGGACTCGGCAGCTTTTCCAGGCTTTTGCAGATACTCGGGTTTGTGAAAATCATCTCGCGGCTTCAGTACACCACGAAGCCGAGCCCCCTCGAGTCGCGACGTTATGGGGGTCGTAACGTCTGAAAGGGCGCAGCCGAGTACCCGCCCCGGAGACGCGGGCACTCGGCTATTGGGTTCGGGTACTCGGCAGCTTCTCCAAACATTTTTGGGTGCTCGGGATCGTGAGAATCCGCTGGCGTTTTTCAGTACACCACGAGGCCGAGCTTATTGCATTCGCACAGGCTGCATCGTACTGGAACATAGGGGGAGTCAGTGCGTTTTCCTTACGGCGAAGCCACAGCGCGACTTGCGTAGTCCCAACTTGATCAGAGCGATGCAAAGGAATAGAAGCGATGCGACCAGTGCGTACTGTTCTGATGGGCGAGGCGACAAATGTCGCGTATGAACTAAAACGAAGAAACATCCTCGCGACGGAAGTAGGACCTGGCCCCAGGCACTTCTCGTAGTCTACGCCGTTCGTTAGCACCATGCTCCAGCTGATACACAATGACTCTCGAAAGGTGAGGCGGTGAGGCTGCGTCTCCGATTCTCACGTCTTTTTTCGCGCAGAAATAACTCAGCCAGAAATGCCAAGGGGAGGCGGGTCACTGAAGGGCAATTGTCCCTATTGCAGACCGCCCGTGCGTCTTATCATGCAGAAACATCCGAGCCCGCCACTTTGCCTAAGAAAACATGGAGCAGCATTAGATGAGCAGGACAAAAGTAAAGCGCGTCGCCGCCATGCGCTCTTCCATAAGGAGGACGCATTTTGCTATACTGATATATAAAGGCACAAAAGCCATGGCTTCTTCGATGGCAAATATGGCGCGGTACTGTTTTTTCACGTCGTATTTTGCGGCAACCTACATGATCATTGGAGCGCGGACGCTTGCTATCCTTTCTGAAGTTGGCCCATCTCATCGCCTATTATTTCGCGTCTATTTTTCCCTGGTACCGCCGTCCGTGAAGGTGCTGGGGTGTTGCTTTTGTAATGGACATTCAGGCTTTCGTAATGGACATTCAGCTGCTTCGTATTTCGATTAGGGTGACACGCCTTGGCAGGCGAGGCGGAAGATATGGATGCACGGAAAACAGTGCAAGATGAAATGGCGTCACGGGCATCAAGCGTTTTATTTTTGCTCAGTTTCTTCACGAACAAAAAATCCAAAGATGAAATGGGTCGGCTTTCCTTATCGATAGATGCAGAGCGAGCCGGTGTGTTCACTGCGGAAAGGTTGTCGCAAAGAAAGATAGAGCTAAGCACTATCATGAATGCGCTGCCCGAATTCGCATCGAGGAGGATACGGTAGATGTTCCATGGCTGAGTCGGCTGAAGTTTTGGCTTTGCTTTGGTAAAAAGACCGACAGGAGATGCAAGGCATGACATCAATAGTAAGTGACTCAGCAAAGCGTGCTGCGTGTTTGCTTCGCACCGACTCAGAGTAGGCATTTCGCCTGCATTACTGAATCTCCGGAGGAGGAGGCGACTGGTGTACCAAACTGGAATAATTACATACCACACTTTGCTACTTGCGCTCGTCGTCGCACTGATCGCCGTCGTCGTCTATCACAGCATAGTCGCTGACTCCCCCGGCCGTGCTCAGACCGCTACTGCAGAAGTAGATGGGCGAGGTTTGGAAGAAAGTCCACAAAATGTTTTCCGCATGGAAGCAATCCACTGCCAATGAGATTTAGATCCCACCAGAATAGTTTTGCCTCGCCAGGGGAGGAAAATTTTCCGTGTAGTATGTTTGCGAATATCTTCGGGCATGCGGACAAGGCACCGCAGCAGAAAGGCGCGGGACCCGGAGCTAACTTGAGCGCGAGCGTTCGAGATCAAGGTAGTGTGCCCGATTGCTTGTCCTGCTGAATGTATTATCTGCTACCGTGCAACGGCGAAGATGAAAACGAGAACCTGACGCTTCACTTCGTGCAAGAAGCTACCGATTTGGCAAAACACAAAAACTTTTCACAGGCACGAGTTCGGGCAATGTGACCGAGGAATACATCGCTGGAGACCCGGAAAATGGTACTCGGAAAGCGATCCAGTCCGCCCTTGACGAGGGCCGGTGGGCACGGACTGAACTAAGCGGGAACGTCACAGACCACAACTTCGCCGCCCACCATGACAGGAGAGGTTCGTGAAAAATTTGTTGCGAACTGGCATGCGTGCCGAAGTAGCCTTGACATGTGTAGCTTCCGCATCTGATGAAATAAACTTACCTTCGAGACACACCGGCCTTGTTGAGTACTTAGATATACTTGAAGAACAATTAGAAGGAATATCAAAACGAAACAGCCCGTGAAGGCGCGTTGGACCCGATGTCACAGAAGCTACTAGAGGAGGAGCCGTTTCTGGTATAACTCGAAACTGGGTTGACTGTGTGCTATTTTCTACGTGCCTTGATGGCCACAGATGCAGACCCTCTGCTGTCTTTGCGTAGGGGTCTGCTGACCTGTGCTCCGACGCAGATTACCCATGCCACTGTCGTCGTCACTTCTGGATAAATGAGACTGCGGAGCTGTTTTTCGGCAGGAGCTTCAGAGCCTTCCGTTTTTGAAGAGTGGGCTGGCGTGGTGCGAGATGTCGATCTGGTCATAGAACTCGCATTGCATAGTCGAATTGCTCTGCATGCTATTCCAAATTAAAGGTGCCACAAGAACCCAGTGTCGCGTCGTCTGGCTCTGGTGGGCGTGTCTCTTGCCGCCAACCTGAAAATTCTTCCGACGATAGCCACAGCTCGAATAGAACCTCCTTGCTGGGGCCGAGTACGAACACCACCTGCGCAGATGCCGAACCCTTATCGCCGCACACAGGCGACGATTTAGGCACGATCGCAGCCCCAGGCGAGTTGGACGCTAAGGCGCCGCCGGTGATGCACCTTTCTGGCGCCTGCCTCGCCATGGACGCGAAAGACCGCGAAGCGTGCGAGGCGCCGGGCTCGCCCTGGGAACACAATGAGCTGTTGTGTAAGGCCAAGTCTCTTTGCAGGTGGGTCTCTGCGAGTACCAACGGCACAGCGCCAGCAGCTTTCCCTGAAGCAGACAACCAAGTGGATCACTGCCGGGCGAAGAACAACACTCCGGACCGTGCAAAGGAGTGTGAAGACGCGAACGCGCAGCATTATTCCGATCCTGGGTTGTGCAATGCCCTTCCGGGTTGCCAATTCGGGCGGCCATGGCCGAGTGCCGCAACACCGTTGGAAGGCGCAGACCTCTTGAGGGACGGTTTGGAGCAAAGGTATCCTGAGTACTCATGTTCCTTCGTGATCTTTGGAACTACGTGTCTTGTTGCGTAGCCTGTGTATTGGGTGTGCAGCAAGCGATCAACATAATATTGATTTTATATATTTTTGCGCGGACGTCTCAAAACACGGCAGATCTTCCCTGCATGCTGCAAAGGAGACAGGAGCAGGATTGCCAGATGCTACAGTGGACATTCGAGACGCCGGGGCAGCATCAATGCCGGGGATCGATGCGAAGCTCGCGAAAGCGTCTTCGGTTTCCAAAAACGCGACGAGCTCCAAACGGCGCAAACGCGAGTGGATTTTGTATAGCATTCTTTAATTCAATAGAACTAATCGACGGCTGTCTTTTCCATGCATCTTTTGCTGGAGCGTCACTGTCACAAGAGTCAACAGCATGAGCTACGGCATTCCTCCACTCACATTACGAAACAGCGCTGATTCTTGCTGAACAAAATAAGTAAGAATATTGCAAGGGCAAATACATTGACTGCACAAAACAGCGAAGGAGAGGAGGACTTCGACTCCGACAAGGAGGACGGAATGGTGCACCGTTTGGCAGGTCAAGTTGTGGACTGGCTGCAGTCTTGGGACCAGGTGCTGCAGGAGTTGGGTGATCCAAAGCGCGGTGGAAATTCATCTAATTCCAGTAATACTTCGCTGGAGCTGGGAGAAGAAGATGTCTTGGAAGAGGCGACCGATGGCGCAAGCAGACCGCGGAAATTTAAGAAGGGCCCAGTCGAGGAACTCTGATGCGCTCTTCTGTTCACAATTCAAGCAAAAATGTATGATAGAACAAGTGTTGCAGAAGTCTCCATGAAAATAAGCACTTACTTAGGCTGCTTGGACTACTGAAGTCATGAGTCGTATTATATTTTGGTTTTCACACAGTAATATATAGCGGTCTTTTTAGCAAAAGAATGTGCTCATAAAGATGAAAAGCAGAGTGTGGGCATTTCAGTTTCGTTTTTACTTTTGCCTGTTTAGTGTCCATAATAATGATAAATCTGCAAGTGCAACATGCGGGTCCGTCGGTGCTGTGGGCTTCGGAATGCACAAACGCAATTGCGCGATGCACACGCAGGCACAAAAGCGGCATGTAAGATTCTATTAGAGCTGCAAAGTAGTTCACGCTATGAAGAAATCAACAGAGCCGAACAATTGTCTGGGTAAAGAATTAATGTTGATTCTGTTCGAAATTACTACAACAAAAGGCCACGGGCCGACTACTTTGTCTGTCAGTCTCCACAGTGCGGCACGCGATAGCAGCCACGCTGATGGAAACTGGGCACCGAGGCGCATACCCTTTCTGTAGAAGCATTGGAGAACAAGGAGATCGGGCTCACAAAAGAGATCAAAGCGTTTGCTGCTTACGTACCAGATCATCCCAAAATACAACATACTCCTTACCCTTGTACGATCAAGACGAGGAACTGGCGTGCGTTTTGCAAATACGGCCATACATCACAGAAAACCCACTTGCAGCTACGGAGTCTATACTACTGAAGCGCGTTCTCGGCGGGCGTTCCGTTGTTTTAGGTTCCGATGAGACACTACAGTTACTGTGAAGTCATAGCACGACGGTGCCGAACTGCAGTCGTGTGAAGTCCGTCGTTCAGTAAAAATGATGAATGTGCTATTGTGCTTGTCGTAATCCGTGTGATTTTTTTAGATTTAGAATGAACATGAAATGACGTCGTCAGAATATAATCCGTCAGGGCTCCTTCCCGCGGGATCCGCGCTGGTATCGAAAACGGGGCGCACTCTTTACGCAACGCAGGACGTGGTCCTGGTGATCGTAGTTCACGAGGCCACCTCCCGGTATCTCGTTATCGAAGAGACCTGGGACCGGGGTTGGCACGTACCGACCGGCACCGTGGACTATGCAAATGACTTTTCTCTGCACAAAGCCGGGCTCAATCCCGCCGGGTTTCTGCTCTCGGACGCAATGCACGTAGAAAGATTTTTTTCTTCCGTCCGAGAGCAGCGGCCCGGGCGCGGCTTGACAGCCCCGGTTTGACCAATCCTTTTCCTTGGAGACGAGACGCGGCGAATCCCTGGAGGAAGCCGCACTGCGCGAGACGCGGGAGGAGACCCACGTCGATGTGAAGCTCATCGGGGTGCTGGAGTTCGAGCGAACCCGCTTCGGGGAGAGCACCACCCGCAACCGCATCACTTTTCTCGCGCACCCACTCGTCGATCCCACGGATCCGTGCGCACCGACCAAGACCGCAGCGGACGAGCACAGCCTCCAGGCGCGGTGGGTGACCATCAACGAGTATCTGCATTTGCCGAAGCACCGGGCCCGCAATTGCTTGTTGCACTGGCACCGCCACCTCCGCGACAACAAGCTGATTGTACCGCTGTGGTATTTCCCGGATGTGGTGGAGGCGCCGAGCGGCGGTCCGGAGTTCCGGCTACTGCAACCGGCGTCTTCTCCCGCGTCCCAAGGAGCGGGCCTTTCGTCCACCGCCGGGACGGCAGATCCTAACATCAAAGGTGCAGGAGCGGCCCGCAGCGACGCGGTCACGGTGGCTACCAACTATGATCTCGTCGCGGCGAACTTTGTTCCCCAGCCGCGGCGGGGAAAGAACCAGAAGTGGTCCACCGGTGTTGGCAAAGACGGACCGCATGACAAGGGCACCAGATCGACGCCCGCAACTTCCGGCAGCGACGTTAATAATAAGGGTGGACCGAACAAGAAGCTCTCGAAGCAGGCTTCCAAAGGTGGCTCCCGCGCGGAAGCTGGCGAGGAAGGGGCGCTGTCCTTTCGGGAGATCAACAATTTGATAGTTAGCGGCGTGGTAAAATCGGCCGCGGCATTCTGCGGCGGGAGGTTTCAAGTGGTGGTGGACGCAGCGGGCGGAAAGGGCGGAGGCCTACCGAAGTACTTGCCGTTCCTGCGCAATGCGGGCAAGCTTTTGTTCGTGGATATCAGCCCGGTGTCGGTCGGCGAGGCGCAGACGCGTTTTCTCTCGATGACAACCCGGCCTACGAAGGGTGGGAGCGCGGGGACCGGCTGTCCCGTGGACACAGACCTATCCACGAAGAAAAAAGGTGGTCGGACCATGGTTGGTCGTGTGTGTGGCAACATTGGCCTAAAATCGTGACGTTGCACTGTAATGTTCCAGAGACGTATAACTATCATCGCGCTCTGACCTAGCGGGTTTTCGTGCGGTTTGTGTGTTTTTTGCTTTACAAAAACAAAAGACAAATTAGATTTGGAATTTGAAGAAATTCACAGAGACAGCTCTGACACCTTTTTTCTTTCGACTTTTCTTTCGCGTGGAAGATTGCTTTTTCGACCTTACCTACTGGGAGCGTCTGGCGCCGAACTCAGTGTGCTACGTTAACTGCCAGTTTGCGCTGCACTACGCCTGCCGCAGCGTTCCGCATCTCACGGCTCTGTTTCGTGCGATCGGGCGCGTTCTGCGCCCCGGCGGGCTGTTTTGCGGCACCATTCCCTGCGCGACGGCAATTGCGGACGCGATGCAAAAGCAAATCGCAGGCGTTTCGCAGCCGTTCAAGATAACCGAGTTGCGGACTACTACGGACTCGGCCGCGCCCCAAACCGGTTCGTACTACTTCCACCTTCCGGGCCACGTGGATCCGCCCACGAAGGAGTTTTTGATTCCGGAGTGGCTGTTGCGCGCCGCGTCGAAAGACGCCGGTTTGATTCCGGAGCCGTCGCTGCATTACCGGACTTTTAAGGAGCTGTACCGGCCCAGCGGTGCGGATCCGGTATCGTCCCTGTACCGGGTCTTTGCCTTCCGAAAACCGGCACCCAGTGGTAGCATCTCCGGGAAGAAGACTGGCAATCCCGCACACCACGCGGCGAGCAGTTTGGCGAACACGGATGAAACAGCGAAAGCAAAGTCGAATGTCGGAGAAGAAAAGCGGGCATCGCAGGCGCTTGGGCCGGCACTGGTTTCCGGAAGAACCGCCGACCAGCCGGCGAGCAGTGTGCCGAAAGTCGCCTTGTATACGGGAGCATTCGATCCCCCGCACGTAAACCACATTCACATAGTTAGGCACCTGCTGACAGTAGAGGGATACTGGCAAGTACTCGTCTGTATCAACGGGGAGAACGACTTCAAGCCTTTTGTCACGCCGTCCGAGCATCGCGAAAGAATGGTAGAGGCCGCATTGCAAGAGACGGGACTGATCAAGACAGGCAGAGTAGTTACGAATCAAGAGACGCGGACGGCGAAAGAGGCGGGGAGCTACTGTTCTTCTTGCATGCATGACTGGCCGCGTTTATGCCTTCGCACGCACAACTATTGTTCCATCCACTGCGCCCCTGCGCTCTCTCTTCAGTGTAAGCAGGGAACGAAGTGAACCACGTGGACTTTCGCATATCGAAAGCAGCAAGTAGTCGTGCGTAGATCATCATCAGCTAAGAGAGTGAGATGCAAGTTCCACAGATCTGCGCGCGTTGACGAGAACGGCTAAGCCTTTGTATCGCCCTTCTTTCTGGTGCATAGCGGCCGTTCTGCGGAACGATCACGGCGGTTGGGCCGGGAGAAAAAGAATTTGCGATGACGTGTACATCAGATTTGTGGAGCAGCAGCGGTTAGCGCCCGAAATCCACCTGGTTCTAGGCCAAGACTCGTTTGAGAAAGCTTGGAAGCGTGCAGCGCCGGCGGTGAAGGATTTTCTGCAGTGCACCTGGAATATTCTGGTGTTGCCGCGCGACGGAATTACGCAGGAAAAATTCGAGATCCCATACGAAGCCTCCCAAGTAAGCCACAGAAGCTTCCAAAGTAAGCGCCTGGAAACGGCGCAAGACGCCGGATACCCGGGATGCATTGCAGTCGCGCGGGACTATCAAGACCTTCTGACTTGTTCTTCTTCCGCAGTCCGCGAGCTACTACTACAACGCGACAGCACCGGGGGCCTGGAAAGCAAAGCGAGCTCATCTTCCAGTCGTGCAGGGCCAATGCCGGCAAACACGACACTCGCGCAGTACTTGTCCTCCGCAGTGAGAGCGTACATCCAGCGAAATCGCCTCTATGGCTTCGCGGCTGAAGAGGATCCAGAACCAGGCGCGGATAGGCAGGACGTCGACAATATCGTCCAAAGTACAGAAGTAGACCCGGTGGACGGTAGTTCTCCCACTGGAGCATCCGGGCAGGCCGAGACCGCGTCCCTGGTATCGGCGGGGCAGTTTTTTCGACGCCGGAAAGAAGTAGTGGACGAAACGGCGGCCGACCAGAACATGCGGCTCATCCGGGGAGTTCTGTTTTGCGGGCCCTCGGGCTGCGGGAAGAGTACGCTGATTCGGATGCTGATTCGCGCGAGCGCGGAGGGAACGATGACGCATCTGGACTACCAGATCAACGGCACCACCTCCAGTTACGAGAACTTAGTGTCGGATCAAGCGCGGGAAGCGGGACACCTGGCGTGCATTGAGGGCGTGCTGATTGAAAAGATCCCGGATTTGGATATAACCCGCTCATGTGTTACAAACTCAAACGTTGCAATAGAGTCTAGAGTTTGTGTTGCAAAATGCGGAACATCTGGCCTACTCCCACATGAGCGCGCATGACAAGTTTCGGAGCTCCAAACCGCATGGGAATCTGCCGAAATTTGTATTGCGAAAAGCCCAAGTCTCTGTTTGGTACTCATGCTATTCATGCAACACAAATTTCAGATTCTATTGTCACGTTTGAGATTGTAACATTTGAGCAAGCCATATTGGAACGTAGTTGCGGGATCTTTGTCGAAGCGATCGTTGATCTGCACTGCGGGAAGAAACAGTGCCTGGAGCGCGGCGGAGACAACACGGCCATCAACAAGTACATGAAAAACACGGCGATACGGAAGCAACAACTCTGCAGCTTCCGGACTTCTAGTCCACGCCGGCACGTGGTGCAGGTTGACACGCAGGACCGGTCTCCGCTGGAAGTACTGGAGCTCTGTATACGGTTCCTGCGCCCCCGCGTTTTGTAGGCGAGCCAACTTGATGGTTGGTCGTGCGCGTTATGGCACTCACGCGGAGAAATCTGTATGTAATTTTCTGTAGTGGACCACTATGGTCACGACCTGCTCGTTTTATGTTTATCTTTCTACCAACAAGAACGACTCTGACACCAGTCGTGATGCTTGTAGGATGCAACGAGTAGAAGTCAAAAGTTGAACAACTACCACGAAGCATGAAAGCGAGAACTGCAAGGAAACCTAATTAATAGCGACATGTTGAGCCAGTTTATCTGCAATGGCCGAATTTTCCAACTTTCGTGCCCAAAACAGCTCTACTCAGAAGAGTCTAGAATATGAACCGACGACAGATGAAAAGGAGAAAGCGAGGTAGCCTTATTGACCCAATCTGTCCTTTAAACCGGCGACACTCTATAGAATCACACCAGCAACTTTCCGTCCTTAGAGGAATTGACGAGGATTTGTTTGCGATTCCCGAACACTTCTGTTCAAATAAACGCTGCGCAAGTTTTTTGCGAACAGAGATACATAACAGCAACTGAAACCTCGTTCCGTCCATGCGTGGCTGGGGAGAAGAAAGAGGAGCGTGTCTGCGCGAAAGATAGAGGCGGGAACTTGGGCAGAAGGGCGGACGGCTGCTTGGAAATAAGACGAAAAGTAAAGATGACCTCGTTTGCGACCGGTATTGCGCTTCGCATATATGTGAAGGTTTTTGGTTTGATGCTCGGCGCGGTGGGCGTTTCGCTCGTGTTGCAGGCGATTGGGGTTCTTTTTTCCTCGCACAGCAAGGTCGCGGTCTTGTTGATGCTGCTCTCTAGCCTGGTACTCCTCGCGGGGGAGTTCGCGGTGGTGTTTCATTTGCCCTTGCTGGCCCCGTTTGCGCCGAAGAGCCTGGTGTGGCTGGAACAAAACATCACGACGAAACTCGGGCGGAGCGTGGTCTACGGCGGGCTGGGCCTCGCGGGCGTTTTGTGCAACGTCGTGTATCATTTTCACGGATTCTACGCAGGCTGGAACTGCCTTCTCACCACCCTAGCGGCGGCGATATACGTACTGGAGCACGAGGAGGAGCCGGAAGCGGCAGCGGAGAAAGCCCCGATCGTGCCACCGTCCAAGAAAAAGAAGGCTACCGCAGCAGCGGCCTCCGAAGAGACGGCGAGTACGGCGGTCTAGAAAGTAAAAATCACAGTTGTGCAATATCAATGCGCAGAGCGAGAGAGAGATGACATGATGTAATTGCTCTGGCGTTGGACATTCACCAGGCTTCGGCTCTCGTGAACGGGCCATCTTCTTTTCCGGCAAAACGATAGTCTGTTTCTAGACGTGCGGTCCCTCGTTGTGCGTGTAACGTTTGCGTGCTTTTGGTGGATCTAAAGAGGAACATCTCGTGCCTTTTTGCTGCGGCTTGGCTTCCGATACATACTTGCCTGAGCTACGGGAGAACAGTGTCTATTGCTTTAGCGTTCCGAGCGGAGAGATAGCTACTTTCCACTGATCCACACCAAATACCGGTAACTTTGTGTGCTATCTGGTTTCTGTTCAATCAACGAGACAGCCACCGCGTCTTTGAGAGCATACGTGCGGAGAGACATGCTTCTATTAGCACAGGTGTTTCATCATCATGCAAGCAGCTAAATTCTACTTTTGCGTCGTGGCACAGACCAGTTACAGTTTTTAAACCCTGCTTTTAGAAAGCGAGAGCAACCGCGCCCAGTAGCGTGTAGACAGGGGAAAACACCACACGCGGTACGCAACTTCGTGTGATTGCAAACACCATGTCCGAGGAAAAGGACGAAACAGAGGAAACCGCGTGGGCCAGCGAAGAGGTGGACAGAATCTTGCTGGAGACGTGTGACACCGTGTTGCTGGTACTATTCGGTTTTATTTTGTGATGACAAGCGCAAAACATTTTGATTTGCAGAGAGATGGTCGAGCACGGCACTTTTTTGGCCTCGAACTTGCTTCGCACAACTGTGCTTCCCTGAGTTGGTTGGCTTTGAGGCAAGATCTCGCACATATTACTTTGATGCCAGCACCAACTTGCGGATGAGTGCATTCAAGAACTTTGTATCAATCCAAACAAAAACAGAATGAGCAGTATTCCGACGAGAAGGTGGCGCAGTGGGTGAATGACATCTGCGAAATGGCCATGCAGAGACTGAACGAAACCAAGAAGCTATTCGATGTAATAAAAATGCCCCCCCCCCACCGCAGAGTTGCCATGCAACTCTGCATGCGGCCCAGAACATCTTTCGTGCGCAGCCCCAGGAGAAGCACTTTCTAGAAGTGCCGGTTTGATATTTGTAACGCTCTGATCATCAGGAGGAGGTGCAGAATTTGTGATGCGGCTGTATTGGCTGGGCACAATAATGACACTGCCTAGCCAATTTTGAAATTGCCGTAGTGAGTGTCAAAGCCTCCTTCTGTGTTTGTGTAGCAAAATGCCCAACACGATGGGGCGGGGACGGTTTTTCTCAGGATAACAGCCATTCAAATGGGTGACCACCTGTCTGATCATGCACAGGAACGGCGCCGGCGTTCACAGTTCTGCGGCGGCTTTCTGGGACACAGCAAACGACGGGTTGCTGACAACCGTGTGGCCGAAAGATAAGGGAAAGAACGAAGGGAACAAGACGATTCAGGCGATTGTGACAGTCATTGGGACGGAGTTCTGATGAACGTTGGTTCTGGGAGGTTCTGGCGCCCGTACGAAGGGGAATTCGAAGTAACTACTCGTTTTTTTTGTTTGAATAATCTAAATTTTGTGCGACTTGCTGGGAAAAGAACAGCAGATAAAAGACTCGAACGACTGATATTTTTCGCCACAGGCAACTTTGGATCTGAAATCTCGATCATCGCCGCGCTTAGTACCTACATTACGCCTTGACTGAACCTTAAAGTCAATCTGGATCAAAGATCGCGCTCGTTCTGCATGCGAGCCAGTACTTTAGAATCGGATGGGCACGTCAGTGAGTATCTCTTTGATGTGCAACGTGTTTCTGGCCGGAAGGCTTCGCAATTTGCAGCATACCCTGTTTGGAATCACATAGTCATTCGAAAATTTGGATCGACGCGAGGTATGGTCCTGACCAAAAAAAGTCTATGCACATCGGTGATATTACACATGATCAAAGTTCGGATCTGAATATCAGTGGCTCGACGTTCTTCCTAAGGCTGCAGAAAGCAGAACCGTGTGGAGAAGACAGCGCACCTGGTCATAGGATATAAATATCGAAGCTCCTCAGTTCTGATCTAAATTGCCGTGACTAAAATATCGATCTAAATACCGGAGATCCGCTATGTATTGTTTGAACATCGAGGCTCTTTTCAGAAAAACAAAGCTGATCGCTTAGAAATACGAAGATCCGACTTTATGATCTGCCTTCAAAAAGTACCGGCGCAATCGTGCAGATTCCGCTAAAACTCAAAAATCTAAATTGTCTGCGATCTGCTCCATACTAAGAGTCAACCTTCTCCCCTGTCATCGCTTTAAAAAACACACTTGTGATCCACAACAACCTCCAGGGAATCTTCTTTTCGGAAGATCGGTATCAGTAGAGAACAGTAGATTCATCGAAAATGGGCGCCTACAAGTACTTGGAAGAGCTGTGGAAGAAGAAGCAGTCCGATGTGGCTCGCTTCCTCGGCCGTATCCGCACCTGGGAGTTCCGTCAGTTGCCGGCGGTCCACCGTGCGTCCCGCCCGACCCGCCCGGACAAGGCGCGCCGCTTGGGATACAAGGCCAAGCAGGGCTTCTGCATCTACCGCGTCCGCATCAAGCGTGGCGGCCGCAAGCGCAAGGTATAAGCTCAGATTTAGAATTTTGTTTCAGCTTGTCAGGACCAGGAGCCTTCATTCTGTAAACAATTTTGTCTTTCGTTGGACTGGCGTTTTGACACGACGCTACTGTCAAGTGTGCAATCTTTTAAAACGTCACAACTCTTCAGGTCTCCAAGGGCATCTGCTACGGAAAGCCGTCCACTTCCGGCGTTAACAAGATCAAGGCCCACCGTAACCTGAAGTCCGTCGCTGAAGAGCGTGTCGGACGCAAGTTGGGGTCTCTGCGTGTGTTGAACAGCTACTGGGTGTGCCACGACGCCATGCACAAATGGTACTGCACACCGCTCTTGTCTACTTTGAAAGATAGAAATTTGACAACGTTTTCTAGGTTCTCGTGTTTAATATTTTTGGTCTCGGTCCAGTAGAAATGCCTACATGAAATTGCGCATTTATGCTTATGGACATATAGTCAGGCAGCGTGTAGTCCCACAACATCGAGGAGAGATGTTAAAACTCACAATACCGAATCTTTTTTTCCAATTTTGAAACAGGTACGAGTGCGTGATGGTTGACCCCATGCACAAGGTCATCCGCAACGACCCGCGCATCAACTGGATCTGCAACCCGACCCACAAGCACCGCGAGATGCGCGGACTCACCTCCGCGGGCCGCAAGTCCCGTGCCATGCACCGCAAGGGAAAGGCCGCCCTCAAGTCCCGTCCGTCCATGCGGGCCTCCTGGAAGCGCCGCCAGATGCTCCAGCTCCGCCGTTACCGTTAAGCAGTTTTACTTCTGCTGGTGGTTTCTACGTGACGCTGTTCTTTCTACCTGGTTGGTGTGCACAATCAGTGATGGGAAAAATCGCTCGAGCGCTACTTGTGATGATGTAGATTAGAACACACATCTTCGAACAATCTCTACTAAAATCGATTGATCACTCTGCATGGCTGTTTTGTGCACCACAGTTTTCACAGAGAACACGCCGCGTGAACATGTAGAATGCCTCGATGAAACGGAATCTACTACTGTACCATACTACCGATCCGAGAAACAAGAGCTAGAACGTTTGAAGCACGCGCTGAAGCCGCGATAGACAAGGAAAAGTGTTGTGTTGTTCGTGAACTACGCTGGTCGTACATCCGGAAGCGAGTCGTGAGAGACAGAGAGATTGACGAGCGACGGAGTCGCTGACGAACGACAGAGTCGCATATAGAGACCGCAGAACTACATGAATGAAGTATACTGAGTGCGAGTGCTCATCGTGATGAGGTCGCAGTGTGATCGCACTTTGAGGTGGTCTTCCCGGTCGTTTCTATTAGCATTATTTTACCGTGCTTTTATTTTCTGTAAGTCAAACAGGGAAGTCAAAGAGGTGCACGAGCACGTGCGCGCAGAAGTCAGAGGTCGTGAGCAAAATGATATGCGCCCCAAGTATACCGCGTAGCCTGTAGCGGCCCAGAAAACAAAAATGGGCGGTATTGTCTCGAAGAAGAAAGAGGAGCCTCCTCCGCCTCCACCGCCACCGCCGAGGCGCGTTACCGAGGCAGAAAAACCGAAGGCGAAGCCAAAAGCCCCACCACCTCCCCCGTCGGCCCCCGATGTAAGACTTTTGTTCACAGCATGCCAGTTCGCATGTCAACGCATGTTTTTTGCTGGGCTCCTTGCGATCTTTTTCAATATTGCGTTGACTCTTGCTTTCAAAATTTATACAGGAGGGCATCTTTGGGCAGGCACGGGAGCTCAATACGCTCCTCCTTGGCGGAGAGGACAGTACCTACCAGTTTACCTATACGGTGGAACTGGACCGGCGGCAGTTTCTCACCTACCTGACGGAACCGCGGGCCTTTAAGATGCCCGACTTCGAGAAGGAGGAAGACTCGGATGACGAGGAGGAGACGGCGTTTCAAGCGCCGCTCGATCCCCGGGACGTGCTACTGCGGCAGCCGCACGAGCCACCAGGCTCGCGACCGAACAAGGCACCCATGCTCAAAGCGGGGTTGGCGCTGTCCGCAGCGAGAAGTACACTGAAGTTTATTTTGCGTTGTGACATGGCTGTCGGTTGTCTTTTTCTTTTATGTGCAGCGGCCCTGGTGTGCAACATGCGCGTTCTTGAGTCTAGAGAAAAATGTTGTCAGGCTTCATTTTTTTCTAAACTGAATCAATCAACAGGTGCGAAAAACTCGCCAGCAAAGAAGAAAAAGAAGAAGCCCACGACGGGGTGGAGACAAACAAATCAGCGCGTGACGTTCAAACCCGAGAACGCCATATTACCCGGTGGGCAGTACTATCTCGGAACAGATGAGCAGTTCACCAAAACGTACGAGCCTTGGGGGATCAAGTTCGACCTGCACAAATTTCCGCTGCAGGTGGAGAAAATTCAGTCCGGGTCGGTGGCGGACGAGCACGCGGCGCGGCACCCCCAGGACACGATCGAAACGGGGGACTTGCTCGTGGAGATCAATGACATGCTATCGAAAGGAAAAATCCCCCCTCCCCATATCGAAAACGAAATTTGTGATGCTGTATTTGAGGCCACAAATCAGATTTGTCTTGCTGGCGAGGACTGCAGGCCCATATCAGGCCTGAGTAGACAAGTTTTGGCCTAGGCGCTTAGCATGGCAGACGTCGTCGCTGTAGGAGCAACAGCATGACAAACCGCCTGTAGAATGTGGCGGAGCCTGTAGACTTGCCTTCATGCAATACAGCGACGATTTGTGGTCTCAAATCTGCATCACAAATTTTCAGAAGTGTCCCGGTTTGGTATGGGGAGGGGGGATTTTTCCTCACAATACATGCCAGTCTGTCCCTCCGCCGGAGTGTACCACCAACGGCGAAAGACGAACATGAGCGCCAAGGAAATTAGGGAAGAAGAGGAGCTGGCCAAGATGAGCGTAGTTGTTGTTTTGTTGTTTTCGAACTAGCACGTTATTTACCGTTTATGTTTTTTGTTTTCCGTTGCAGTTTTTACATCGGTTTCTTTGTTTGTTCCCGACAAGGTGATGAAAGGTGTTTGTTTGTGTTTAGGGCTGCGAAACGACAGTGGAACCTCGATACTTGACAGGAAACGCGTCTCCGTGCACGGGAAGAGGCGTTTTCACGAAAGCAAGTGGAAGACAAACCCAATCCCGTAGCCGAGGGCGAGGAGGGCGAGAAGAAAGAAGGCGAAGCTGGAGCGGAAAACGCAGAAAAAGAAAAGCCTGAGGAAAATAAATCGCTCACTGTTGCAGCCGCAGAGGTGGCGCCGGCGCGACCCCGCCGGGGTTCGCTGCTGCTGAACGCAAGCAGCACGGACTGGCACGGCTACGACCTGTCCACGGTTGCGCGCATGGGCCCGAGTGGGAACCGGTTCGGGTTCTACCACTCCGAGAGCGACGTGGTGAAGCCGATTGACAACCTCGCCTGGGACCAAGAGGAGGCGTACAGCCGGCTCGACGTGGTCAACAAGGAACTGTTTGACCTGTATTACTACACGCCCAAGGTGAAGCTGCGGTTCGTGCGGATGAACCTGCCCCAGTACGACGCGGGCCACGGGTTCTCCTACACATTGAACCTGGTCCGCAAGCGTCAGCCCGCCGGCATGCAGAAGACCCCGTGGGGGATCGTCTTCCACCTCGACTGGGAAGAAATCCCGGCCACCGAGATGATGGGGGACACGTTTTACACTAACACGTCGGGGACCACCAGTTTCGACGACACCGCCTCGGTGCTGGATTCGGAGTCCGACCCGGGCGACCGCCAGAAGCAGGGGCTAGACCGTTTCGTGTCCGCGGCGCACGGACAGCAACAGCACGCGTTCGGCGGCTACCAAAACTACGAGGGCGGGCACATGGCGAGCGAGCCCAGCAGCCGGGTGCGGAAGCATCCACCGGCGCACCAGAAGAAGCGGCCGCTGGCCTTGACGGACATTGACGAGGTGGTGGAGCAGGCTGCTGACGTAAGAAGCGCGCCGAGGGCGTCGTCCTCCTCTGCTTCCTCTAGCAGTAGCAGCAGTCGTGGCCCCAGCAACGGGCTGCAGAGGGGTTCATCATCGAGGGAAGGCGAGCATTACGCGGAGCCGCCCCGGCGGCGGGACGTCAGCACGCGGGGCAGCGGATACTCCCTGGACGAGGAGGAGGAAGATGAAGACCCGGAGGACGGCATGCCGCCAAGTGGACACCTGCGGTACAATCCGCTATCCCTGAGTCACACGCGGCGGTCGTACGAGGAGGAGGACGACGACCTGCTGGACACGCAAGAGCACCTGCCGGAGAGCGCACGGCTGCCACCGCCCGCGCAGCGACCGGTGCATCATGACCTCCCGAGGATGAAGCCGGCGGAAACTACCGCCGCAAAACCGCGGCCGGCTCGCCGACGGCCCGGGACCAAGGAAGAGGACGAGGAGGAGGACCACCTGCACATGAGCTACCAACCCACGCAGCCGTTCCCCGACTCGCTGCTCGGGCTGGGGGGCGCCGGCGAGGAGAAGGGCGAGCGCGGCGAGGAGTTCACCGGCACCGCGGAGGGCAGTCGCAGCGTGGAGCACACGCGCAGCAGCAGCTCGTCGAGTCAGCCCTTCATGCGGCAGGCGCCGGAGGAGCCGCGCCTGATCGGCGCGGATCACTTGCTAAACCGCAGCACGGCCGAGGGCTACGGCTTTGGGCGCAACCTGCGGCTGCGCCGGGTGATCAAGGTGCACAGCATCGAGAAGAGCACCGTTGCGAGTCGGTGGAACGAGCAGGACCCGGACGTCCGGGTGTTACCCGGGGACAAGGTGATGAAGGTGCAGGGAGTGGACGTCTCCAGCATCCCCTGGGACTTTTTGCTGCTGCCGCCCTACCCGGACGAGGAGGAGTTGCTCGCGGGGCAGGAAGAGGAGGAGCGGTCCGAGCGGGCGGCCAAACGGAAGCAGGACGCGATGGCGGCCAGCAGCACCGGGAGCTTCGGCGGCGGCAGCCCCCTGTCGCGGTACTCGCGCCGGCACAATGAGGTGGACGTGAACATGACGATCGAGGACCCGACGCCGGGCCCCGCGGGCGCCGCGTTCGAACGAAAGATGGAGGAGTGGAAGCTACAGGTGGTGGAGCAGTTCAACCAGCACCGCGCCCTGTCCACGATTTTCGAACTCGTCATCGAAGTGCTGGCCGAACCGTCGACGCAGGCGGAAGCGACCGCGCGGCAGAAGCGCAACTCCAAGTTGCCCCCGCGGCTCCGGCAGAGAAAGTTTCGCACGTATTTGAAGTGCAAGGCAAACTACTTTCCGCGTGATTTGGAGCTGGAAATGGACCTGTACCGCTACGACCCGGAGGCGGCCATCCGGAAGCACACGAAGCAGACCCTCCGGTCCCCGCGGCGCATGCTGGACTTCATGGAATCGGAGGGCGGGGTCAAGCCGCTGCCCAAAACGCAATCCCCGCAGAGTCCGATGCACCGGCCGAGCCCGCCGGGATCGCCGGACGCGGGCAAGGAGCTGGCCTTGAAAGAGATGGAGGAGGAGGTGTTTACGTACGAAGCGCCTCCCACGCTGGAGGTGCCCACCGCCCTCGCGAAGTCAAGGTTCAAGGTGTTCTTGAACCGCAGCGCCGTGGACCTGCCGTGGGGCATCTACCTGGACGAGAGGTTTGCGACGCTGAACATTTACATCGTGCAGGAGATCGAGGAGCAGGCCGAGGTATGGATTGCAAAAATGTCTGGGTCTGGAAGAATGCAGGACTTTGCCATGCAGATTTCGCATGACCCATGAGGTCTGTCATGCATGCCCTAGCATCAGACATTTTGCGAGGGCTTTCTGATGCTCATACCGCATGAGAAATGCCCTCTCCGCGTAGCGCCAATTACACCTTTTTTGCTGTTCATGCAATACAGATTTTATGTAGAGTCCAAATGCAGCATCACAAGTTGCATTCTTCCAGACCCAGACATTTTTGCATTTGATACGAGGCGCCGGTGTGCCAGTGGAACGAGTACGTCCAGTATCAAAGGCAAAAGTGTCTGGGTCTGGAAGGATGGAACTTGTGATGCGTCCTGTGGGTCACACAAAAAGCTGTGTTGCGTGATCACCAAAAGTTGTCCTTTTTTGACCAACCTGAGCGGGAGTTTCTCATGCAGGATAGGCATGATAGAGACTTCGCAGAATCTGTCATGCTAGGTCCTGCATTCCAGATGTCATGGGGCATGGAAAATATGCATGACGAGTCTGCATTCTTCCAGGCCCAGACATTTTTGCATTTGATATCAAGGACGTCGGGGCCTTCGGGTGCCAGCTGCAAACGGGGGACTTGGTTCTCTCGTTCAATGACAAGTCGGTGTGGCACGAGGCGGAGGGCGAGATTCAGCACGGGCTGAGGCTGGTGCTCGAGTGCTACCGCCCCCCCTACAAGCCCTGCGCCATGACGAGTCCGCCCTTCCTGCAGACCAACGAGAAGTTGCTGGACGTGTGCTGGGCCCGGTCGCGGTTCTTGACCACCGTGTACGACGACGAGGAGGCGCTCGCGAACACCCCCGACGGGGGGCTGCGGGACACGCACTACTGCGTGGTGCTGCACTCGTTGTCGCCGGACCGCTGGTACATCGTGGACGGCGCGACCCGGAAGGCGCAGGACATCTCTACAGTGTGCCACGCCATCCCCGCACCGGTCTTGTCCGTCAGCGTCATCAATTTGCCGTCGCTGCGCAGGTACAGGCAGTTGCGGTTTTTGTATGCTTGTTTTGAATTCATCTCGACTTGTTGTTTTATTTTCGTCATTCTTTTCAGTACGAGTACTTACGCGTTTTTGACGGCTCTTCCTTCACACTGTACAACACACAGTTACGAGGCCTATGTGGCGATTCGCAACAGCCAGGGCTGGAGTCCGTTTTCCAAGGTGAGCAACCGCGAGCGGTTGGAGAAGTTCATTCAGCTGAAGATCGTCCAGAAAAAGAACGACGGCATCGCCGCGCAGATCCGGTTCGTGTGCGTGCTGGAGGGCCCGGACCGGGCGCCCCTGTTTGCGGACCCGGATTTGAACGCGCCCCTGCACAAGGAGGGCGTGGCGGCGGGCAGCATCATCGAGGGCACCGACCTGAAGAACGGGTGGATCCGCATGGAGAAGTCGAAGGGCGGTATTTTGTGGCAGCGGTACGCCCGGTCCGAGCACTTCATGCTCGAGGCGGAGCTCTACAAGCAGCATAAGCTGTTGGTGCTCGCCCCCACGTCGTTATGACAGTGCACAACTCCCCCCCTCATTTGTCATGCAAAACGCCAAATGCAGTCACTGCCCTGTGGCACTGTTTGCATGACAAATTTCGGAAGCCCGAACAGTACTACATCAGGCACATAAATTTGTCATGCGTAGGCTCCGCGTGTGCTGGTGTTTGTATTGCTGTTCATGCCATACAAATTAGCGGGAGGGGGGGTTGTGCACTCTCATAGTCGTTCGAGACGCTGGTCGGCCGCTTCCCCACGGACGCGCCGCGGTCGCTGGAACCGCAGCCGCTCCCGATCTCCCTCGCGGGGCTGGACCGGCAGTTGGTGCAGGAGCACTACACCACCATGAAGGAGTGGCGCGAGTACTACCGCCGGGTGGAGCGGGAAAAGGTCGAGGCCGCGAACGCCAAGAAGGTGGCCGAGCTGCTTGGCGCCGCGGAAGAACAGAAGCGGTTGGAGGACGAGCGGGAGCACCGGCTGGCGTCGCAGAAGTTTTTTCGCGTTAACGAGGTGCTGGAAGCCGTCGAGGACGGGGTTCCGCGCGACATCAAGGACATGTTCAAGAAGCGGGTGGAGACCAGCGACCGCGCGAAGCTGGACATATGAGGGTGCACAACTCTCTTTCCCCCTCTTTTGTCGTGCAAAATCCCAAATCCAGTTGCTGCCTTGTGGCACTGTTTGCATAACAAACTTCGGAAGCCGAAACAGTACCACGCTGAGAGCATGAACTTGTCATGCACAGCATCCACGAGTGCTGGTGTTTGTATTGCCTTTCATGCAAGACAAATGAGGGAGAGCGGCAGTTGTGCACTTTCATAGGACAACGTGACTACCTACAAGGCGGTGCTGGTCCGCAAGATGCCGGAGGAGGACTGGGGCATCAAGTTCGACCCCCGGCTGGAGCAGGCCGGGCAGAAGGTGATCCGGAACGTGATTATCGATTACAAGGTGCCGAACGTGGTCACCCGGTGGAACCGGCTGCAGGCGGAGCGGCGGATGCCGTACCTGGAGGTCCGGGTCGGCGACCGGCTGCTGGCGGTGAACGGAAAAACTTCCATTTTCGCCATGGACGAACAGATGGAGCGCAGCAAGGAAATCCGGTGCGAATTCTGTCGCACGGGCGACGCGAGGAGGCCCTTGCCGGACCGCCGGCACGCGGGGAACAAGGAGGAACTACTGGCGGGCGCACAGTTCGACAAAGACGTGCAGGTACTTTTTTTACGTAGAAGTCATGGTGGGGTTCTGGTTTTTGTTTTTCGACGAAAACGTTTTTTTTACTTTCAGAGTTGTGTACTCTTTATTTTGGCACGGTGCGCAGTTTCTCTTTCTATGTGTTTTCAGCATGAAACCCAGGTCTTCAACAGCGACGTGATGCGGGAGCCGCACCGGGTCTTGTTCAAGAGTCACGAGCCGCTCGGGTTCGCGATCGACTGGCGGTCGGGGTTCCCGTTGCGCGTCAAGTACGTGGCGAAGGGCTCGATGGCCCTGAAGATGGGCATGCAGGAAAACGACATCATTTTTGCCATCAACGGCCAGGTATCAAATGTAAAAATGTCTGGGTCTGGAAGAGTGTAAACTTGTCATGCAGATTTTCCATCACCCATGAGGTCTGGAATGCGGGACTTAGCATGACAGCCTCTGCGAGGTCTCTGCCATGCCTATCCTGCATGAGAAACTCCCTGCCAACTTCGTCGAAAGTGAACAGCTTTTTGCACTCATGCAACACAGATTTTTGTATGCTTGAGATTTACCATGACAAGTTACCACCTTCCAGACCCAGACATTTTTGCAATGCATACCAGGAGGTTCTAAAGCGCCACTTCGAGGGCCCGGAGGGAACCGAAGGGTGCAGGAAGCAGATCGATCCGGCCTTACGGGAACGACCATTGGAGGTTGTGCTGCACAGAGGTACAATTGTGCTTACTTTTATTTACTGCGATCTGTTATTTGAATTCACCCGTTGTAGTTTTCCGCAGAAATAAGGATCTACGCGACTATAGCTTTAGCTTGAATCTGAAGTTGTAAGTATCCGAAAAAAGTGACAAGGTCTTGAAATTATTAGGCGGGACCTATATGATCAGGCGTTAAGAACGAGAAAAATAGAATAAACGCAACACATCATCAAAATACAATTATCCAAACCCAGCCATCCGTTTCGAGATGTTGAAGTGCTTCCCGCCCCGAGCGAAGACCGTGATTCGAATGATAGTGCCGGAGGGTATTCGTCTGGGCTTTACGTTCGACGTCGACCAGATGCCACCACCGGTGCGGCACGTGAAGCCGTTTTCGCGCGCGATGCGCACCAATGTGCACATTGCGGACGCGCTAGTGGCGGTGAACGGGCAGAAGGTGGCCAACTACATGCTGGAGAGCTACTCGGGCATCACCGGAACCGGGCACACCATCCTGGACCAGCTGCTGGCGGAGCGACCACTGGAACTGATCTTCGAGCGCGGTCACTACGAGCTATCAAATGCAAATATGTCTGGGTCTGGAAGGATGTAACTTGTGATGCTGCGTCTGGATTCTACAAAAATCTGCATTGCGTGAACAGCAAAACAGGTCTAGTTTTTGCCACGTCGAGAGGGGGGGGAAGCCCTCGCAAAATCTGTGATGCTAGGGCAAGCATCACAGGCATCAGGAGTCATACAAAATGTGCATGACACCAGACCCAGACACTTTTGCACTTCATACGGGCCGCCCTACCCCGAAAACTTCATCATCACAAATTGCGGCTTCGCCTACGATCCCGAAACTGTTATCACTTTCACGCTCGGCGGCCTCGTACCCGCAAGCTTCCGCTACGAATACAACCCGTTGCGGGATATTTTGCCGAGGCTCGGCGCACCGTTGCCGAAAAATCTGCTGCGGAAAGGTAGAGATGAATAGATGATAGAGAAAATGCATAGAGTAGGTGGAACCCTTAAAAACGTTAACATAAGTACTTACTTCCACGCCACACTTTCCTTATCAGATCTCTGCGTAGTTAGTTCCTCGTGCGCGACAGTTTTTGACTTCTTGTACCCGTGAGTATCTATCTGTATCAAAATCCGCTCAAGGTCTTCGGGAGGGCGACTTCATCCTGGCGATCGACGGGATCATGTTTTACGACTTCGAGAATTACGAGCACGAGTTCCCGACAAAGCTGTACGCGCCGGACGAGAAAAAGATCAAGTTCATGCTGCACGACGAGGACCGCATGTTCACCATCGGCGCCCTGCGCCTGCAGTCGCACTGGCGCGGCCACCACGCCCGGAAAAACGTGTACGCCAACCTCAAGGCGAAGGCCATCGAGGAAAAGTTCACGAAGATGATGATGAACAAGATGGCAAACGTGGTCCGGTCCGAGGAGGACGAGCAGGCAATCAAGGAGCGCATGGTAGTGAAACTGCAGAAGGCCTGGCGACGCCGACAGGTCATCAAGGAGGCGAAGCAGCGAGCGTACTGCTTTAATACTGAAGATTTACTTGCTCATGATACTTGGTTTTCTTGGATTCAATAGTTTCTTGTTCTTCCGGTTGTTGTCTCTTGAAGGGAAATATCATATGATCTTTTTGAAAAATCTAATCACGACCTCTAAATTGCACAGCCGCGAAAAGGAGATAGAGGCGGCGCTGCGGGGGAGTGGCGGGCAGCTGATGCTCGACGAGCATGGAAATATGGTGCCGGTGCCGGTCTCCCCCCACGCCCACATTCTGCTCAACAAGCAGCCCACCGGACCCCTGGTGGACATTCCCGAAAGCGAGGGCTTCAGTTCCAGCGGCGCGTCCGATCAGGAGGTGATCGGGTCCACGCCGTTAGCGCTGGCTAAGCCGCCGCCGTTCTCGAGTTACTTCGTGAAGTTGAGTCGCGAACCGAACCAGAAGTGGGGCATCGCGTTTGATATCGACCGCGGCATCCTGATCAACGTGACGACGGACGGGATGTTTGCCAGCTGGCGGGACAACAAGGTCACTGTGGGCGATATCTTGTATTCCGTCAACGGACAAGTGGAACCGCGCAAGTTCTACGAAATTCTTGCATCCGCAAAGGACGTCCGGGTACTTACAATTTTTTTTGCTCCAAGTTCAGTTGTACGGCCCACGTTGTTAAGATTGAGTTTTTTTTACTGGGTGAATTCTTTCCGAGAGTCAAAAATTTTTGCTGTATGCGGTGCCTGCTTCCATGCAGAGAATATTATGCTGGATGAAATTGAATCTATTGTCGGTCATTCCTCCTCCCAGGTGGAGTTCCGACGGCTGCGCACGGCGGAGAACCGTGCGCCCTTCGAGGCTACAATCACCCGGCAGAGTGCAGATGAGAAGTGGGGCCTGATCCTGGACATGGGTACGGGGGAGATCACCCGCATCACCGACAAGGGGCCGTCCGCGCGGTATAACCAGGAGGTGGTGCGGGCCACCGCGAGCAAGTCAAACTGTCTGCACCCGGGGGACAAGGTGCTCGCGGTCAACAAGGTGCCGTTGGGAGGCTATCAAATGCAAAAATGTCTGGGTCTGGAAGAATCCGAACTTGTGATGCTGCATTTGGATTCCAAAAAAATCTGTATTGCATAAGCAGCAAAGGGAATGCAATTTTGGCTACGTGGAGAGGGCATTTGTCATGCGGAATTGGCATCGCGAAGCCCTCAAAAAGTCTGTGATGCTAGGGCATGCATCACAGAAATCATGGCCCATGCGAAACGTGCATGACAGGTCTCAGAATCTTCCAGAACCAGACATTTTTGCATTTCATAGAGGCCAAGACGAAACCATGTTTCAGGGAGTACAGCTGCAACTCTTCGTGGTCCCCCGCACCTTCGAGCAACTGCTGCCAAGCCGGGCCGCCGCGCTCTAGACGGCATGGAATTAATATTCGTATAGCTGTTCTCGAACTACATTTTAGAACTGTAGTTCAGTAGTTTTCAACATCAATCCTTGTTGATAACAACGAACAACGTACAAGATGGCTGTAGTTGATATAGCTCGAATGATGTTTGTTGCAGGTGGGCTCGTGTGGTCGTAGTTCCCGAATGTACAACTCTAATCGGCGTTGCGAGCGCGACACGAATGCTGATTTTTCTGTCCAATGAACTATCTAATAAATTCGTTTCTCTTCACTAATGAACTCTAGAATTCGATTTTGGTTTCAAATGAACTGTAATCGCAACTGTAATAAAACAAGCGCTAGTTGAGATACTCACTGCAACGCTCGAGTTGTCTGGCGCCTGACGGACAGCAGAGTGTGAGCGATGGTAGATATGATCGCAAGCAGAAAACAAAGTTTGGTCCTTCGTATCTTACAAGAGCAAAAAACCGTTATTTTCGTAGATTCACACCCAATTGCAGAACAGACGTGAGTCTGGATAAAACGCTGATTGTAGATTCTTCACCGCATTCTTTTTGGATGGAAATTAGGCTCTGCTCGTAAACAATTGCATTTCAAAGAACGCCGTATTCTCGTCTGTACAATAAAAGAAGGAAAAGAACAAGAAGAAGGAATAGGATAATGTCCGTAAGTCAGGACTTAGTCTTGCGGCTTTCGGCGCGGATCGGTCGAGCGGTAGGGATGAAATAGCGTACTCTCTTTCAATTATGTTCGCCGCCGTGTTGGATCAATATTTGTATTTACTGTGGTCTATGTTGTGAGATACAAGCTCGGTCAAACAAAGCCGGTCGTCAGGATTTTGGTCGTGCTGAGTCGATCGCAACTGCTCGGAGTAGTTTTTGTGCTCAAAAGGTCACAATGAGGGTCTTTTGTGCTCAGACAGTGAGGGTCTTTCCACACTTGAATGACGAAAAAACCTAGCCTCAGTCAACGACGTTACCACTAGGGTATCAGGGCAGGCTATTCCTGCCGCGCGTCGGAGGAGGGAGTAGCGCCGAGCCACGCTCGAACTAATCATCATCACAAGGTTCTCGCAAAGACGCAGCTCTCTGTTTATTGTTCACTGAGAAAATTATTGCACGAGGATGGCGTGCGCATTTTTTCGATAGATTTTCATGGTCAGATGTGATCCGCGTGCAATTTGAACGTTCCTCGATGCAGGAAGAAATGCACTCCGTGGCCCCCTCTAGTACTAGTCGCAAGCTACCCTTGACCCACTCCGCACTAGAAACCAAAAGCAACACACAACAACGACCAGGCAGGCACCCCGCCGCACCCTCACGCACTCCCCACCGGCGCACAGCAAGGCGACAGTCCCAGTTGTGCAGACACAGCCGGGCCTCTAATGTTCTGGCCCTCGCCTCAAGCGCCCCCGTCTTTCTGAACCTCCAGCGGAAGTGCCCTAGCGGCCTAGCCTCGAGCCCTAGCGGCCTAGCCTCGAGCCCTAGCGGCCTAGCCTCGAGCCCTAGCGGCCTAGCCTCGAGCCCTAGCGGCC